AAGGATTATATATATATATATATATATATATATATATATATTCTTTCACTTTTGGTATGAATTTCATTTGTCATCACTTATCAGTTTAGTTCTAGGCTTCGGGCTGAGTAACTGAATTGATTTTTTCTCACCCATTTGAAATAGTTCCTTTTTTTTTAATGTTTTTAAATTTATTTTACTTACGTATTTAAACTTGCATATGTGAACCACTAAGGCTAATCAGAATTGAAATAGTATATGTAACATCTTAAATTTGAATCATGTGGTAATTAATGTAATTCTTATAGATAAAAAAAAAATCCTTGTGTATGTAATAAAATTTGAGTGAATTATTTTTTACAGCATATGAAATCAATGTTTGGATTTGGAAGAGACTACTTTTTAGAGTATCACATTAGGTGTATCTTAGTTGATTTTATTGAGTCTTATATCATCACATTTCATTTAAATAACTCATATTATATATATTTTTCATTTGGACTTGATTTTATCATTGAAGCAATAGTAAAATTTTAAACAACTTTCAAGATATTCACATTTTTTTTACATTTTTTATTTGAACTTGATTTAGCATGAAATTAAAATATTAATTAAATCATATAAAAACATTACATAATAAAATTATTATATTTTAATTTTTTTTATCATAATTAGTTAAAAATGACAACATTAATAAAATTATTAGGAAAAAAGTACTTAACCCTATTAAACTTTATCTTTTTTACAAATAAACACTATAAATTTTAATTTTATCTCAATTGATCTTTACATTTTATCCTCTTAGCAAATAAACACCATGAACTTTAATTGTATTATGATTGATCATGTAAACTTTAATTATATCGAGCTTTTTTCCTTTCATCAATAGTCCATTTATCCCATTTCTTTTCAACAAATTTATCATCTACTTTTTTCATAGGAACATATGGACCTTTGGTTAAAGCATTCCAAATACAAAGATATACAAACTCAAGAAAGATTTTCAGACATATTTTCTCGAATTTATAATGTTCTCCATTGAACATAGGGGGTCTGTTTATTGACCCACCCTAATAGAAACTTTAGAAAATATTAGATTGTTATAACTTCTCCTTCAAGGTTTTTTCCTAGATATTTTTCTCTTTGACACTCCTTAAACTTCTTCAAGGCCTCCAATGGAAGAAGAAACCTTTACAATCACTTTCAATGGTGAAGGACTCTTTTCAAGGGTGACACTTCAAGGAATAAGCTACACTACTTCAAATCTCACTACACTCTTAAGAAGATGAGAGAATTGGAAATAAATCAAAGAGAGATCTAAGTTTTTGAGAGAGAGAATTCTTTAAGAAGAATTCCAACCATTCAATGATATATGCTAAAAGTTATTTACAAATATTTCCAAACACCTATATGTAGAGTTTAGGTAGCTTGGAGAGGAAGCTAGATATTTAGGAAACAAAGAGACACTTAGACCTAGTTCCAGCAATCACAAACATGTTCTAGGAGACATGTAGGAGACATATAGGAGACAACTAAATTTAGAAGTGCCAATGAGTAATTAAGTGTCAAGTGTTCTCTTGTCTCATTCATACGAAATCAAGATATTTGAAATAAAAATTCTGGTAGTTACATCTTTATCTACTTTTTCCTTCATCTTTATAATTGATAATTTATAATACTTTAAATGTGATATAGAAAATATTTAGAATTTTTTAAATATTATTTTTTTCATTATAGTTTATGCGTGAATGTACGTTAATGTACATAAATATACATAAGTTATCTCTCAATTAATTTTTTATTTTAAATTTTAAATTTTGATAATAATAAAATAAATTATTTTCTATCATGTAATTTTTTTAAAAAAATTATCATGTAAATTAAACAAAGACTTGCATGTGTATTTAAAAATATAATTATTAATTTATTTAAAATTAAATTTATTAAATTATTTAATTTTATTAATGTAAAATAATTTTTAAATAGACTAATTATAAAATATATTTTTAAATATATTAATAGGTCATATTAAACTTAAAAAAATCAGATTATAAAAAATATTTATTATAAATAATAAATCATACTTAAATTTTAATTTTATTATAAAAGAAAGTTAAAATATATATATTTAAAATTTAATTTATTGTCACCCTTACTTATAATATTAATACTATACTACTTAAATTCATAAAAACATACTAAAAAATATGAAGAAAATTAAATACTAACACAATAAGAAGCGTGTCCATTCATTGGTCTTAGCACTTTATCCGAAACTTGTGCAATATTATCTTTACTTGAATCTCAAATTCAACAAAGTTTGCCACACATATATATATATATTTTAACCGAGCATATAAACAAGTTTGAAAGTTTCAAAATCCCATTATCCTGTGTGTAATGATGTCATTGCTGATAAAAAACTGGTTGTGATTAGTTCGCGAAAGGTATATTATAGAAATTATTTTCAAATTTTTATTTCACATGCATCATCCATTCATTATTCATTTTTATGGGTAGCAATTTATTTATTTAGTGTTGGGATATTCATTGCCATTCGAACTCACTCGATACTTCTAAGTTCCTCTTCTACCTATGTCTTGTCTCCGCGCGGTTACAATGGTATTTTGTGAATGGAGAATTAGAATATTTATATTTCAATTTAAAGAAAAAACATTCGTATTAATTATCTCATATTTATATGACAGAGAACTTTGACATAAACAAATCAAAAACATTAATTATTGTAATTAATAAGTCAAAAATCTTATAAATTCTACATTTAAATCTCGTACGTTTGTCTGATATGGTATAATTAAATCTTAACATTCTAGCATGTTCCATTTGACACCCATTAGTCCTTTAACTAATTAAGGTAAACACTGCAATCACCACTACTTGTTCACAACAATAAAAAATGGTGAAAGATTATGATGACTAATACTAATTAGTAATAATTTTGAGAAAATTACACCACAAAATTATTTTAATTAACACATAATAAACAATATTTCATATAATTAAATTACAATATATTTTCTTTATTTTTTTTCATTAACTTTTAAAGTTATATATAAGAATTAAGAAAATGATTGATATTTTAATTTTTAAAATATTTATTATTTATTTTTTTATTATACTCAACTACCTAAAAAAGAAATAAATATATTAAATAATAAATAGACACATTATTTAATAAATGTATATTAATTATTATGAATAAAAATGATAAAAAAATTAATAAATTATTGATTTTAAAAAAATAACAATAAAAAAATAAAAAAATAAAAACAAAATAACTATAAAAAAAGACAGTGAAAATAATTATTAAATAATTTTTTATCGGTACTCACATGCCGTAAATTGTTTAGATTTTCTACTTGAAAAAGAACACCAAAATCCCACAATTTCTTTTCCAAACAAACAAAAGCAATAATTTAGCATTTTCAAAGGAGCAATCTTTTGGGGACTACACATTCGTCGTGTCACGGTCTGAATTCATGGCGGCCTAGAAGTTGCTCGACCTTTACCTCCTGGTGCAGTATAAAATGACTTTGGTGTTTCACTTCAAATCAAAATTCAGCAACAATTGCAAACAATTAACTTCGCTGCTTGTGCTTTTGAGACAACGTTAGTTACTACAACACACTTATCCTCATTTTCTAGCTTCTTCCTTTTGTTTCTTGGTTCCTCTTCTTCTTCAAGCTTTCCACTTCCAAGGTTGTCGTTCCTGTAAGTTGTCACCAGTAATGAGTTTATTGTATTGTTGTTAGCAAATATTCCTAACAAATGCTTTAAATTATTGGATAAAGAACAAAAAATCTTAAAAAAATAATTTTAAAAAGTGTTACATTCCTCAGAATTTTAATTAGCTCGACTGTTTTTTTTTTCATTTTTTTTTCATTATAATATGTTTATGATTCAATTATTTTTTGAACTTTATTTTTAATTTCTATAATTAAAATTTTTGTATTTTAATTTCTACATATATCGGTTTTACTTTTTTTTTATCTCCATATTTATAAAATTTAGATTTTAATCCATATAATATAATAGGTGACAAAAATTAAAAAGGAAAAATAATATGTCGATGGACACTCTTTTAATTATAAATAATAAAAAGTAAAATTTATAAAACTATAGAAATTAAAAAAATAATTAGTTAAATTTATATTTATTATATATATATATATATTTGGGTTTTGATTTTTATAAAATTTTGTATTAGGGTCTTGTTTTTATGTTATTTTTATTATCTTTATGAAATTAAATTCTTTTTACTATAGCTCTCTCCTGTATATAGAAAAGTATTTATTTTAATCTTTATTATTATGAAGAGTTGAATTCTCTCCTTCCCCTAATATATAATTGTAAGACTTAAATATATTATTAGTCTCTTAAATTTAAGATAAATTTATTTTTGATCTCTCAAATTTAAAATGATTGTTTTTAGTCTTTGTAATTTTTAAAAATTTTATTTTAGTCTTTTAAATCGCTAGTAATATATTTGAAAGTGACTAATTAAGATAATTATGCAATATCAACTAGATTTAATATAATATTTTTATTAATAAAGACACTAATAGGTAAATTTTATGTAATAACATTTGATAAATTTCTTAATAAAATTTTAATATAATAAGATTTTTTGAAATCAAGGACTAAAAATAATAATTTTAAATTTGAGAGATAAAAATAAATTTATCTTGAATTTGAGGGACTAAAAATATATTTAATCCTAATTGTAATCATCACTAAATATAACAACAAATAAAAATATGAAACAAAATTTTGGAGAAACTAAAATTAGAAAAACAAAATATTTATAAGAACTCAAACTAAAAAATAAATATATCATAATTATACTTAAGCCGTTTTAATTTAATCTAGTGATTTTCTGATATTTTTTATTTTATATATTATTCTTTCAATGTATAATAGCAGGAATAAGGATTAATCTCATGAATTCGGATATATTTTTAATGTTTTTTAATGTATAATAGTAGCAGCGAGATTTAAATTTAAACTCTAATTTCCTATCACTATATATATAATTATATTAATTTTTTAATACAATATGAGCATATCTGGATGTCTCTGACGTGGAACTAATCACAGCTACATTCAATCAGAGTGGTTCCCCGCACTTGCAAAGCAATTGTGGTATCTGGATTTTTTTTTCACTGGATTAAAATAATAATTAAATATGTTTTTAATTAATGAACATTTGTCAAATTTTGTGTTTTAATTTTCGATTTTGAACAAATTTCATTTGACTTTGATTTTAACAGAAAGAAAAGTAAAGACTACACGTGAAAGTTCATAAAAATTTTAAAATATAAATTAATAAATAAATTATTACGAACTATAATAGGAATCAATAAAAATTTCAGGATTAAAAATATATATAATTGTTAAAATAAAATCCACGAACTATAATAGGAATCAATAAAAATTTCAAGATTAAAAATATATATAATTGTTAAAATAAAATCCGATAAGTAGGTATGACCTTCAAAATATGTCGACTAGAGGGTCTAACTCTAAATATGTGTATTTATACGAAAATGTAAATTTATATTTGTATTATAGTATTTTAATTTTCAAAACAAATTTGTATAGGTCAATTTTAGTATTTAAATTTTATTTTACTATAGCTTTCTGTTTAGTTAATTTAATTTGGGCACGTAACGACGATGCTAAGGACAACATCAATAGATTCTGTACAGCCCGTGACGTGGATTCCTCCTTTGCGGGAGATACATCGAAATCCCTATCATTGGCGCATAACCTTTTCAGTTTTAATTACCATTCATATTACATAATAATATAATATTCATGTGGCAGATTTTTTTTTTCCTCTTACTTTTTCCGTTTTTTTTTTTTCTTTATAATTTTCACTTGATGTACTTTGAAACTTCTAGTGTCTTCAAGCATCGATTGTTGTCACGCTACTTTCATTATGGTAATACCAGGAATTGTATTGGATTTGGATTATAGAGAACTAGTTTAGTGCTTCTAAATGTTTCATATGGGGTTGTCACAGTAGTGAAGGTTCCAACTTCAACATGACGGTGACACCTAAGATCTCGGTTAGTGATGATGGAAACCTGGTGGTTCACGGCAAGACCATACTGAGTGGTGTGCCAAAGAACATTTTGCTGTCTCCAGGAACTGGAGATGGCCTTATGACAGGTGCATTTATTGGTGCTACTTCTTCCAACAGCAAAAGCCTCCATGTCTTTCCCATGGGTGTCTTAGAGTAAGTTCCAACATCTTTTACTTTATTTCCCATTCTTATTAGGACAACACTTCCTATAGTATTATAAGTATTAAGTATTGTTAGTTTTGATTTCTAATAAAAAATTGGAGTTTTATTTTGATAACGTATTTAATAAGTAATTTCATTAATGTTAATGTGAATTATCACTTCAATTTTGATTGAAGAATAGTACAACAGTGTGGTATGATATGTAATGGTATGTTGTGTTGATTTGTAGTTGTGAGTTGTGGCCATGGACATGGATGAGCTAAACAGACTTGCTTTATACAATTTAGTTGGGCTCTTGATGAATTAGCATGCTATCTAGTTCACTAACTTTAGTTGCTTAATACAACTCAAACTTGCTTGACTCTTGAATCTTGATGAGTTATGAGGCTATCTAGTTTCCTGAACTTTAGTTGCTTTTTACAAGTTAAACTTGCTTTTACTCTTGATGAATGAGCATGCTATCTGTTTTACTAAACTTCTAGTGACTTTATGAATAGGGATCTTCGGTTCTTGTGTTGTTTCCGGTTCAAGTTGTGGTGGATGACTCATAGAGTTGGAACTTGTGGGAGGGATGTGCCATTGGAGACTCAATTCATGCTTATAGAGTGCAAAGACAGTAAAGATCACCAGCATAATTCTCCAACAGTCTACACTGTCCTGCTTCCTCTCTTGGAAGGCCAGTTCCGGGCTGTTCTACAAGGCAATGACAAAAATGAAATAGAAATTTGCCTTGAGAGTGGTGAGTTGCTTCTTGGCCATGAAAGTTAATTCGGTGTTACCTATGTTAAGCTCTGCTATTGGGTTCAAATTAAGTTCCTATATGTGAAACTCTGCTATTGGATTCAAATTAAGTTCCTTAAGTTTGCAAAGATGTTGAGATAGTAATAGGATCTTAATTTCAATTTCTACGGATAGAAAAAGAAAAAGAAAAAAAAAACCTTGCTATTGGGTTGAAATTAAGATGCTGAAGGTTGAAGAGATGTTGGGGTGGTGCTATATCATATGTGAATATACTGATTGGATGGGAAACCTCTCAAGGACTGAGCTTATAACTTTGCATAAAATATATATGTGTAAGGTGGAGTCCCAGATAACCGAAACGATATTTCTCCTTTCGGTGTGTGGTTTGGTTTTGCAGGAGATCCTGCTGTTGAGACCAATCATGGTCTTCACTTGGTCTACATGCATGCTGGAACCAACCCCTTTGAAGTCATCAACCAAGCTGTCAAGTAAGGCGTTTTTCCCTTTTTGTTTCTGTGATCTCTTATCTATGCCTCTTGAGTTCCCTTAAAAACTAATAAAGCTCACAAGTTTCACAAGTTTCCCAATCTTATTTAGTGGACATTGGAATTTGTTTGTTGGCATTTGTAATGTTATTGACTCCTTTTCTGATTGTCACTTAAGGGCTGTAGAAAAGTATATGCAAACGTTCCTTCACCGTGAGAAGAAAAGAGTAAGAATCTTCTCTTCCTAGAAGTACCACAAATGGATTCCGTACTTAATATGTAATGTATTATGTTACTTAGTTTTTGGCCTTTTTGGTTGGTCGTTTGCAGTTGCCATCTTTTCTTGACTGGTTTGGCTGGTGCACATGGGATGCTTTCTATACTGATGTTACAGCAGAGGGTGTTGAAGAAGGCCTCAAAAGGTAATTAATAAGAGAAATATACTAGTTAGTTTAGGACCAGTGAAGCTGAAGAAGGGATTAAGGTAATGCTTAAATGTTGGTTGTATACTGAAACGCTGAAGTTTGTTGAATATTACTTCAGCTTATCAGAGGGAGGTACATCTCCACGGTTCCTCATCATAGATGATGGTTGGCAACAGATTGAAAGTAAACCAAAGGACGCTGATTCTGTTGTACAAGAAGGAGCACAGTAAGATTTAATATAATTACTAGCTCATTTTTAAAACTTGGCATTAATTCAGCAAAATATTAAACCAGTTGTACTTGTCATATTTAAGTACTTGCAATTGATTTTTTGGAAAATGTGATGATGGCAGGTTTGCTACTAGGCTGACTGGTATTAAAGAAAATACTAAATTTCAAAAGAATGCAGAGAGCAACGACACAATCTCCGGTCTGAAGCATGTTGTACAAGAAGCAAAGCAACGCCACGGTGTGAGGTATGGTCTTGGATCCTGAAACTTGAGTTCTTTGGTATATCGATAATTATGCAAGAGAAAAAGGCTTAATCATGCTTTTGCTGCCTTAAACTTGAAGAAAATTTTCTTTTAACTATTTTAGTCTATCTACTCAAATGTCATTAATGAATCTGTTAAATATTATCGCACAAAATCTATTTATTCGTGTTTTTGTTAGTAAAAATATTATATTAAATTCAATTGATGTTATAAATGTTTTAATTTGTCATTGTCAATTATACTACCGTGATATTAGGGACTAAAACAAAATTTCTTTTAAATTAAAATGATTAAAAATATCAATTTTAAATTTGGAGAGAAAAAAAAAAAAAAATTACCCTATATTTGTCTAACAAAAACATATCTAAGACAAGAGAACAATTATATGAGATGTTGCATTAACTTTGTGAACATTGGAATTTTATGGGCAGACATGTTTATGTTTGGCATGCTCTAGCTGGTTATTGGGGTGGAGTGAAGCCTGCAGCAAGTGGCATGGAACATTATGACACTGCTTTAGCATATCCGATACAGTCTCCAGGTATCCTAGGAAACCAACCAGACATTGTCATGGACAGCTTGTCTGTGCACGGCTTGGGCCTGGTGCATCCAAAGAAGGTTTTTGATTTCTACAATGAGCTCCATGCTTACTTAGCCTCATGTGGAGTAGATGGTGTCAAGGTTGATGTGCAGAACATTATTGAGACCCTAGGTAGTGGACATGGTGGAAGGGTTTCACTCACACGCAGCTATCATCAGGCGCTTGAGGCCTCTGTTGCTCGGAATTTTCCTGACAATGGATGCATTGCCTGCATGTGTCACAACACTGATGGCCTTTATAGTTCCAAGCAGACTGCTGTTGTGAGAGCATCTGATGACTTTTACCCACATGATCCTGCTTCCCACACCATTCATATTTCATCTGTTGCTTATAACACACTTTTCCTTGGAGAGTTCATGCAACCTGACTGGGATATGTTTCATGTAAGTGGAAGTGATAGTAGTTAGGATCTGTTTGTTTAAATTTCTCCGTAAGTACTTCTAAGGAAAAAAAAAATGAAATAAGTTTTTATATGCTGATGTATATAAAATAATTTGTTGAAGCTCTCTCGTATTAGTTTCTTTGAAAACTTATTTTTAACTGATGTAAAAGTTAGTTTTAATTAATGAAAAAACTTATTTCATTCTTCTTAATTGTTTTTTCCTAGAAGTGATTTTGAGAAGTTCATTCAAGTAGGTCCTTAGTTTAGTGAAAAGGAATTTTTATATTTTAGATTTCCTGGATGTTGACAATTGGCTATTTTCAAAAACATGTATCTCATTTAATTGATGGAAATGTGGAAGTTCCATGCTAAGAAAATTAGTTGTAGATTAGTGAAAAAGTTGTTTTAATAGTTGGCTTTTTATGGCAACACTTTTTTCACTTTTATCTATATTTTTATCAGTGATTCTCTAGTTAACAAATAACGTATGTGATTTCAGAGTTTACATCCAGCGGCAGAGTATCATGCTGCAGCTCGTGCGATCAGTGGAGGTCCAATTTATGTTAGGTACATACAGTAATATCCATTACAGGTTTTGTATGCATTAGGCCGTACATGAATGAAATGAGCACATTTGTGATATGTATATTTGTTGCTTTTATAGTGATAAGCCAGGAAGGCACAATTTTGATCTTCTCAAGAGACTGGTTCTGCCTGATGGTTCAGTTCTTCGTGCTCAGTTGCCTGGCCGGCCTACTGTTGACTCTCTCTTTGTTGATCCAGCAAGAGATGGGACTAGGTTTGATAAATCTTCTATGTTTTTTGTTTCTTTATCCGAGGATAAACAAACTCGGTACTAAAAACTTCATAATAATTCACGAACCTTACTTAACCAACTAAGCTAGATTCTCTTGATATATTCTGAGTTCTTCTCTAGTTATGCTTGTGAGACATTTTGATGTTCATGTATCTAAATTGTACTAAAAAAATTTACAATAATTCACGAACCAACTGAGCTACACTCTCTTATATCTTGTGTTCTTTTCAAGTTATGCTTGTGAGACATTTTGATGTTCATGTGTCTAAATTGTAATGTCCAGCTTTCTCAAGATATGGAACTTGAACAAATGCTCTGGCGTGGTTGGTGTATTCAACTGCCAAGGTGCTGGTTGGTGCAAAATTCAGAAGAAAACCCGAATTCATTGTCCATCTCCTGTGACACTCACAGGCTGTGTTTGTGCCTCTGATGTGGACCTCATTGCTGAAGTAGCAGGTGATGATTGGCATGGTGACACCATTGCTTATGCCTACAGATCAGGTAATTTAGTTAGACACAAATAGGATGCAACTATGGAAGTATCTTAAGGGTTCTTATGAAAAAACTTGTTTACAACTTATTTGATCTTATCACATGCTGTAAGCACTGATGTAAGTGTTTGGAAGAGCTTGTGTTATTGGTAAGCTCTCCAAGATAACCAATAAAAACAAGGATTAATTACCGTTTTGATTCTTATAATTTCATAAACTTTATTTTATTTTTTTAAAAATTTTTATAGTTAAAAATATTCCATTTTAGTATTTATATATATACTATTTTTGTTTCCTATTAGTTTTATTGCTATAGGGATTGAAACATAAAATGTAAAGTTTATGAAATTATAGGAATTAAAAAAAGGGGAGGCATGCATAGAGATTAAAATAAAATATTTTTAATTATGGAGATTATAAGCTACAGTTATAGAACTATAGGAAAGGGTAATTAAAAGTAATTTACATCTTATGTGAAAACAAGTTAACCATATTTTGTCCTCAGTTACAGAAACAACTTACACATTAGTACTTATTCAATAAGCACTTAAGTACTTAGTAAAGCTATTTATTCAAAAAGTAAAGACCAATATGTACGTTGCATACTGTGTTATGGTTGATTTTACTATTTCAATTGTGAAGGAGTTATATGAATTGAGATATTGGACTTTCCATTTATTATACTTTTGTTGAATTGCCTCAATTCGACTTTACTAAAAGCAACCGGCATCAATATTTTAGGTGAAATAATCCGGCTTCCAAAAGGTGCTTCGGTGCCCGTGACACTAAAAGTTCTAGAGTATGAACTTTTCCATTTCTGTCCAATCAAGGTGAGGCTCAACTAATAGTTAATACAGTATATGATATTATGATGTTTCATTGTTTTTTGGTTTTATCCCTGTGGATTGTTACCAAGTTTGCAGCATGATATATTAAGTGAATCAACTCTGTTTAACAGGAAATTATGCCAAGTATTTCATTTGCACCAATAGGGCTATTGGATATGTTAAACATTGGAGGTGCTGTGGAACAGTTTGAAGTCTTTAAAGAATCTGAAGTGCCTGAAGGAGATAAATCACCAAAAGCAACTATTAGCCTCAGTGTGAGGGGAAGTGGGAGATTTGGGGTTTACTCCTCCCAGTGCCCACTGAAGTGTGTGGTAGGTGACAATGAAAGAGAGTTCAACTATGACTCAGAGAGTGGGTTGACAACCTTCTGCATCCCTGTGCCTGAAAAGGAGATGTACCGTTGGAAGATAGAGATACAAATCTGAGTTTCAAGTCTTAGTAAACAACACTGGGAGAGAGATTTTGTTGTAATAACATCACATGTAGCAGTAGCATAGTGTGGGGTGTGGGTTTGGTATAATGGGTGTATTTGTTGTGGTGGGGTACAAAAGGTTTTTCTTTTATTTTTAGTGAAACTTAACACGTTTTTTAAGTTTTGAGTGAGTTCATGATGTTCTTTCTTGTACTTGGGAATAATACAGTAGGAAAAGGGGGGAAAACTGTACGAAGTATGATCATTTGGATGTGTTTGTAACTTGTAAGTGGGCAAGTTAATGGTTACAACGAGGCAAGGAGCAATTTGTATTACTGCTAAGTGCTGTTTCGGCTTATATTTTGGTTTAATTGATTTTAATAAGATTTACTTTGGTTGTTAAATATGATTAGAATACATATGTTCAAATTGATTTAGGTGTTAATTAAACAAGCACTAAGATGATTTGTAATGTGCGGCACTGCTTGTTGGTCAAAAGCTTTTCATGGGGATCTGATGCATGTTTATTGAGGCTTTTTAAACTGAAACATGTTTGATCGATGATATTGAAAATTCTAAGTATCCATGACGATTAGGAAAAATACAAGGAAAATAGTATTAGTGGAACTTGATAATAGGTGAGAATGGAGAGACTCATCAGCATAAGTCTAAAATATATAACTGAACATTAATTATAAGATTGAACAGTAAAAACTGTAGGACAAAACAACAACCATAAATATGAAAGAAAAAAAGAAATTGTTCTAATATAATTCAGTTATACAAGGAGAAATCGTTGGAGTAACCAAAATTAAATGCACTTGTGTAAGTTAAATATAACCAAAATTATATAGGTCCATAATAGAAAATGAGGATGAAATTGAAAGAGAAATCCATAACAGAAACTGAGGATTAAATAGAAGACAGTGAAAAAGGAGAAGATTCTTTTATATCGAAAAATGAAGATGACTTGATTGATATGAAATAGAGTAAAAACTGCAGATTCAAGAAAAATATTATTCTTGACAATATTTTGTTTTTATTTTTATTTTTATTTTTTATTAAAAAATAACACATTTTTTCTTTCTTTCTTGCTTTTACAGATTTTATAGGAAATAATCAAACAAGTTTTTTTCTTCTGTTTTCAATAATTTTTGTAAAGATTTTTGAAGTTAGAAAATAAAGTAAAATGACATTTTTTATAATTAAAAGTGAAAATAAAAAAATAAAATAATTAAAACATTCTCTCGAATGAAACGCCCCTTTACTATTTCAATCATGTTGTTTCCACAGGCCATATTAATTTTATCCCTTTTGGTTGGTTTGATAATTGAACACGTGACCAAACTTTGACGTGTGTTATGTATATCCGATAGATGGATTCATGGGTTTAGCTTAATGGTGTATTTAGATAAGAAATAATTAATTTAAGAAATTTTAAATTTTTAGTATTTGAATTAAATACTTTAGTTTTAATTTTTATTATTTTTAAAATATTTTATTTAAATAAATTAATTAAAATTTTTAAAATTTTAAATTGTTAAGTTAGATATGATAATTTAATTTTATTATGATAATTGATTTTAAAAATATATTTGTATGTTGAGATTTTTAAATAAGATTT